AGTGTGAAATCATGCGGCCAGAGCACTCAGAGCATCCAGAGCTTACTTGCAGACAAGTGGTAGACAAGTGGGAGACAAGTGTGAAATCATGCGGCCAAGCACTCAGAGCATCCAGAGCTTACTGGGAGACAAGTGGGAGACAAGTGGGAGATAAATGGGAGACAAGCCTGAAATCATGCGGCCAGAGCACTGAGAGCATCGAGAGCTTACTGGGAGACAACTCTGGGAGACAAATGGGAGACAAGTATAAAATCATGCGGCCAGAGCACTGAGAGCATCCAGAGCTTACTCGGAGACAAGTGGGAGACAAGTGGGAGACAAGTGGGAGACAAGGGTGAAATCATGCGGCCAGGAACACAAGCCCGGAGACAAACTCAAAATCATCCGGCCCGAGCATGCACCCCTTTAAAAGGAGTAAGAACCCCTCACAGGTGAACCTGTTTGGGGAATAAACGTGTCTGTGCGTGCGTGCGTTTGTGTGTTTAAAGTTTGAAGAATCTCTGTGTGTAGAGGCTGTGTTTGTTGCGAATCAGAGATTTCAATAATGTTGTTGCTCGGCTCGTTGGTCAGCACGTGTATGTCCCAGCCTGCGGAAGCGGCTCCGTCTTCGGGCCGGGCAACTGCAGCAAATGTGCGGCAACCATGGCTTGCCTTAGCACAGCTCACCGGGAAGTTGTAGAGGTCCAACCCAACAAACAACAAAATCCAACCAAGTGGGGGCTGGCTAGTCAACCGAACAAGACTACAAAAGAGGCTCTTGCTACATGGGTCGACATTGCCTCATGGCCTCATCGCTCCCTTCAGCAAGTTGCTCAGCCACATCGTGCATCTGTTTGGCCACAGCCATGAGGTGTTGGGCCTTCTCCATTTTCTCCTTGGCCTGGTGAAGTTCTCAACCCAAGTGAGAAAGGGGATCGCAACAAGGCAAACGCACAGAATATTGCATTCTGGCCAAGAGTTGATCCATTCAAGTTGGAGTATTTACAGTAGGGATTCTTTGTATATATCTCAGCTGGCTTCTTTTGCTGTAATACATTCCGACCTCCGAAACCATATTGACTCATCGTAGCTTCCTCCAACCAAAGATGCCCCCAACATCTTGTCCCTTCGTTGCGCCGCTTGCGCCTGCAGCTTCTGCTTAGAAGCATCGGCCTCCTCGAGCGATGCGGCCTTGGTGGCGTTCCTGGCCTCGTACAAGGCCTCCATCACCGAACGCCTAACACAGGTGAGCCGGGGTCTCAAAGGGAACTGAAGAAAAGAAGATATGCAAAAAGACTAGCCATTAATTTTTCAGTGGTTTAAGTTTGTGTGTGTATTGGCATAGTTTTTGTTCTCTTGTTCCAGTGAAACAGGTAGACATGTGACATGATTGAGCCTGCCTACCCCAAGAGGGTATGCACCAGACTAGTGACCAGTCACCCCTACAAAGTTCGGATCCGTTGATTGTTGCTCAGGTGATCAGCTGCCAACATGTAAGGCCTGACTTGGCACCTGAGCAGCATAATGGAATTGAAGAGTATATAACTTCAACAAAGCATTGCTGTGGACACACCATGGCACACCCGTTTCTGAAACAGGAACCAGCTCTTTGCGTCATCCTGCAGTCATCCGCGTGCACCACTGCAACCACCCAGTTGCACCACCTCTTGCCGAAACAACACCTTTGTTATCATCTCGTTCATCCCTAGTCAGTCGGCTCTGGACGATGGCAGTTTAGAACCGGGGGAACTGAAGTCTGTCTTTGCTGCCCACTTTGCACGCATAAAAGTCAGAATATAGTATAATATGACATCGTATAATATACTTAATATATGTATATATATATATGTTACCTTCGCTGCTCCACACGCTCCGAACCCTCCAAAATTACCTTGCTCCTGGACAGCGATTCGATGACTCTTCGCAAAGAATTGCAAAAAACGTACTCTGCCGGAGCCTCGCTTGCTGAACACTGGCGAGTTCCTCTTCCAGCTTTGCTTTGTCTTTGGCTATTGACTTCTGCTCCTCCTCCCAGCACAAAGGTGTACCAGTTGCGGATGCAAAATTGAAAGCTGCCAGTCAGAGCTGTCTTGCATGGGACAGCATGGGCACACCGCACCTGCAACGCATCCAGCTCTGCTTGACGCCTTCGTTCCATGGCCTCGGCTTTGGCTTGCTGCTTCCACGCAGCTGCTTGTGCAGCTTTAGCCTTGCAGGACCCCAAGAATCTTTTGGAGTAGGGCCAGGTGTCTTATCCCATCTCACTCTGTAAAAAAGATAATGAAAAACAACGCATGCATCAAACGTCATGCGGGCCTGCACGGCTTTTTGCCGATAGCTTTTCTCTGCCACAATAGCTTCCTCCTTCTGCTTTCGTGCCTAGAAGCAAAGCTTCTTCATCGAGCATTCTTTGGTCAGGGTGACATGGGAAGAACCACATTCCCAGCTCCTACAAGACCAAATGGGCCAACCTAACCTCCTGGAAGCTCTGCCGTGCTTTGGTTTCCACCTTTGCAGCTTCATCATCATTGGCCGCAGAGCGCTTCAGCATGCCTGGGTGACAAATTCTGGACAAGAGGAATACAGACAGAGACAAACCAAGCAAAATAGTTTTGTGTTTTTTGCTAAGGAACTCTCGCTTTCTTCATGCATTTTTTGGCCTCTCTTCAACTTGTCCAAGGCATCTGTCTGAGCCCACTCTGCGTCATTCGTGGCTTTACGAGCTTTCCGGAGCTCCTCCTTGGTCACACCCACCCGACTGACACAACTTGCCAACGAAGCCCCCAAGCGCACATCAGTTGACAACTGTGGCTCCGGCCTCTGCTTCTTTCTTTAGGCCATTCAATTGCTCCCTCTCTTTTTGGAGGGCAGACTTTTCTTTGTCCAGCTTCTCCTGCTCCTGAAGACACCAGTGACTCTTGCAGAACCACGTGTGTCACCTGTGTCATGTCGGGTCGCACCTCCTTCTCTTTACGCTTCTCCTCCTTTCCCTGCTCACGAAGCTCCTTCTTCTCCTGCTCCACTTGTGCCTCCTTCTTTTGCGCTTCGCGCGCCTTCTGCGATGCCGAGGCCATGGCCGCCTTGGCGGCCGCCATCGCACGGTTCACCTCCTCGGTGGGTGGGAGACTCAAGGCAATCACCCAGTTGTGAGGGCTCAAGGCATCACAAAACAGTACGCACGTGCGTTGTTTGCTTGCATTCCATTCCATTGCATTGATCATCATTGGCCGTACGGCCACTCCAACACTTCTTGCACACTGCACTGCTCAATTGAAATCTTGATTGATTTGCACATCAACTACGTCATACACCCAAATGTATGCAATGAATGGCTCGTTTTCGCCCGTCCTCTACTGGCGGCTGCGCAGCCGCAGCCCATCCAAGTGCCAGAAGGACGCACAGGGTGCGGACCATTGCTCCAAGGGGAGCACAAGAATGCGGAAGACTGGAGGAACGTCCGGATTGGATTTGGGCATGTTGCAATATGTTACCTCAAAGTTCACTCATGACTCATGACCTGTTGGAGACAGCTGTCGACCGGGAGCGGTGATGGCAACAAGGAAACGAGCGCGGGTTTTGGGGCTGGCAAGTGCATACCCAGCTCTTGGCAACATCTCAATAGCAAGAAAGGTCTGAATCCAGAGGAGCAAGGACGCTCCTAGGAGCAAAGGGCATCGCTACTAGGAGCAAGGACGCTACTATAGGGGCTCCTGGCCATACTACTAGGAACACGCTACAGATACATGCAATACATGCACCAAAATGCTAGAAATTGCACCAGGAAGTCCAAGAGGAGGATGCTTTGATGCTTTTGGCTTTGCTAGGGCTCCACACGCAGCACAAGCATCCGTGGAGACGAAGTCAGCAGCGGTGAGCCACAAACCTGAAAAACAAACGTTGGATGCTTGGGGCTCCTGGCATCGCTACTAGGAACAAGAAGCTATTAGGGGCTCCTGGCCTTACTACTAGGAGCAAGGACGCTACTAGGGGCTCCTCTCTCGCTTTTTCAGGCGTGGAAGTTGTTTCTTTCTCGCGCGTGCGCGGGGGGGGTAGGCCGTAGCTAGGTAACTAGCTAGTAGTAGCTAGGTAGCTACCACCTACAAGTAAGCAAATAGTATGGACGCAGGATAGCTCAGGCTCGCACTAATGATTTGGTTCCTAGATTTTTAGGGAAACTTAACTTCAAAGGCCTGAAAGCGACTAAAGTGGTCTAGTCTAGTTCTATAACAGTCTTTGTTCAACTGCATCCGAGCCCGCCTCTTCTGCCAACGAGGTTTCTTCCCTCAGCCTTGCACAAAGGCATGATGAATTTCGGCTCACGACAATCTCAGTAGCAGTGTCGAAGCGAAGCGGGCCCTGATAAAGAGTTGGAAGCAAAAAGGACACCAGCTCAGCTTACAGATTTCTATATATATATACTATATACAAATCCTGTTGATGCAACAAAACATCCCTGAATCATATGACTCATATGACTGATCAGAAGAATCGCCATCACCTGCCAGGCCTGGCCCTCCATTCAAACAGATCCATAGATCCCCTCCGGTCCACTTCAGCATGTTCACTCGATGCTCAATACTTTCATCTGGAGCTATTCTCCACAACAGTGCAGCACTTTTGTTTGGCCAACTAAATCTAGTTGGCATGAAGCTGTGGTTTGCAAACAATCCGTGTCATGTTTTTGGTCTGCTTGTATAGATGCCGGTGTCTGATATGTTTGCTTGATTGAAACAGTCTCAAAGGAGCATGTGGCTCAAATCATTCAGATTTGACAATTGGGCATCTGACCGATCTACTATTATATAAGTATCAACTTGCATGCATGGCGGGCTTTTGTATCAGGCTGCACCCTCCGGTGCGACATAGTCACCACTCTTCCCTCCGGTCTTGCTCAATAGCCGAAGGTTTGTGATCACAATGCCTTGACAGCAGCATCAGGACAGTTCGAGTCAGTCGCATTCTCTTGCATGCAAAGCCTTGCCTTTGCTAATCGGCTTGCACATGTCATAGATGCACAGTGCAGCAGTTGAAGCCGCTGCTAGGCTCTCCATTTCAACCTTTGCAGCCGAATATCCACACCTTTGCCTTTTGCCTAACCTGGGCCGTCTTCAGCATTCGAGGTTACGAATCTGAGGCGACGGCACCGGTCTGGCCATCACATGACACATCCGCTTCGACATGCACCAACGCATTCTCTTCATCGAGCTTGCAACTCAGGGGGCTTTGGCGGACTGACAACGCGCAGAAAGACAAAGGGCCTCCAGTAGGCCTCTAGGGTCAGAACTGAACAGTGGCACGGGTCAAAGGCAAAGGATGGCACCTTACGTCATGGCCGTGTGGGAAACCCAAAGCAGTACCCAAAGCAGCTTGTCTGTGGGATTTCTTTCTACCTGAGCACCCCGCAGTGGCAGCAGGTCTGGCGTGCGCTTCGCTGCCATGATTCCAGCAACTTCACTAACTGTAAATACCTCGACAGGCCATTCTCATGCTCGTGGTCATTCTCATGACTCCACCCACAATGGATGTAGAAAAAGAACATGTATGCATCACGTCACATGTTCAGATTCAATACTCTGGCCGCTCAGGAGCATCACCCTTGGCCACCGTCTTAGCTGCCAAGGCTGCAGCCACCTGGAAGACTTAGCCGACCGTGACAGAGGTTGACCTCCCGTGACCTGCCTCCTTGCCGACCACCACAGTGCAGCCAGCCCGAGCCTCGGCGTCACGGAGTTCCACGGAGTTCGGAGTTCTCGCAGCTCAGACTCCAGCCGTTCGGCGCGTTGTAGCTTTGGCCCCAACATCTACCATTTGAGGGCTCAACGTGCGAACCTGGCCAGTCTGGAGTGAGGTCCACTAGCATTTGTCACAGGAGGTTTTAAAGTGGGCCGCAACTTAATTTTGGATTTTTGTGTTTCTTTTTGTGTGTTTTTCGTGGCAGGTGACAGGCGCAGTACTTTGTGGACCTTGCAATGCACAGTTCGTGGCAGGTGCAGGACTTTGTGGATGTGGAAGTGCAGAGCTGGTGGCAGGTGCAGGACTTTGTGGGCCTTGGAGTGCAGATTTTCCGGCAGGCGCAGGACTTTTTGTGGACCTTCAAGTGCAGATTTCGTGGCAGGTGTGGTACTTTGTGGCCCTTGGAGTGCAGATTTCGTGGCAGGCGCAGGACTTTGTGGACCTTGAAGTGCAGATTTCGTGGCAGATGCAGGACTTTGTGGATGTGGAAGGTGCAGGACTTTGCGGGCCTTGGAGTGCAGATTTTGTGGAAGGCGCGAGACTGTGCGGACCTTGAAGTGCAGATTTCGTGGCAGGTGCAGTACTTTGTGGATGTTGAACTGCAGATAGACAGATAGAAAGATAAATGGATCGATCGATAGATAGATAGATAGGTAGATAGATAGATAGGGCATATTTGCTTGGTTAGAAAGTTTTGCACCGGGGAGGGGGGGGGGGGGGGGGGGGCGCAGCGCCCCCCCCAGCAGCACACCAGATTCAAAGGTGAGCAGCTCGTGCTTGTTTGCTTGCTTGCTTGCTTCCTTGGCTTCGTCTCTGCAACGCAAACAACAGGAAAAGCAAATGCAAAAAGAGAAAGGAGAACAGCTGCCAAAAAGAAAGATAGAAAGGTAGAAAGATAGAAAGAAAGATAGAAAGATAGAAAGATAGATAGATAGATAGATATAGACAGATAAAGATAGATATAGACAGATACATAGATAGGCCAAAAAGCCAAAAGCCACAAAAGCCACAGAAGCCACGAAAGCCAAAAGCCACAGAAGCCACGAAAGCCACGAAAGCCAAAAGCCAGAGAAGCCACAGAAGCCACAGAAGCCACGAAAGCCAAAAGCCAGAAGCCACAGAAGCCAGAAGCCAGAAGCCACGAAAAACAAAAAAAAGAGTAAACAAAAAATAAACAAAATTAAATGGCCCTCCTTTTAAAGTGGAGTGTGTGTCTGCTGCAAGGGTGAAGAGCAGTCTGAGATGAAGTAGGGAGTTGCCACCCTGCCTGCCGGACAAAGTTCTGAATCAAACCTTCCACTTTCATCCTCACTCGGACTCAGCGGCTGAAAGCCTTCAGGTGAGCTACACTCCCTAAGCCATCGGCCCCGCCCTGGCGCGCAGCAAAACGGTGAACATGGCGACAAGGGTGCACACAAATTCAGAATGGGCCAATCGGCTCAGTGCATTCCAGCCATAATCAACGTTGAAGAATGGCTGCCAAAAACTATTCTCATGGCTCGCGATCTCACAACGTGGGGTTGCATGGGCTGTGAGCCACCTGCCAAAAAGTGTCTACAAAACTTCAAACATCGACATGCTGACTGTTCCCTCATGAACTCCAAAGGGAATGAATCCAAATTGTGTGCTTGCAACACCCATGTATTGTTTTTCCTTCGGGCAACTTTGGGCAGCCTCAGAGCCGTGGTACCGTGCCTGAGCACAAAGCTCAGCTTTGCAAGCAGTAAGCACTGAAGGCATGCCAGCACAGGCTGACAACACTAGACATTCCGGTTTTGCACAACCGACCAACAAAAAAATCGGACCGCTGCATCGTGCCAACACGAGCCCGTTTCGTTGGAACAAGAGCTGCATGCTCCAGGGCACAAGGCAGATGGAGGAGAGAGTTCCCAAACCAGGCGTACAAACAATATGCGCAAGGACTTGTCCATCCAGGACGTCCAAGGGTTCAGGTTCTCCAACAACTAGGAAAAGGAATGCAAAATCCGCTCATGCCTTTACAATTGCGCAAGCTTTAAAGGCCGCGCAAAAAGAGCCCCTCCGAGCTTCAAAGGTGGAGAGGGCTGAAAACGCAACTCGCCCGATGCAGCGAGCTGGGTTGGAGCCGTTCCTAGTAGCGTTCTTGCTCCTAGTAGCGATGCCCTTGTTACTAGTAGCGAACATTGCTCCTAGTAGTACGGCCAGGAGCCCCTAGTAGCTTCTTGTTACTAGTAGTAAGAATGCTCCTAGTAGCGGTGCCAGGAGCCCCTAGTAGCTCTATTGTTACGTATATACTAGTAGTAAGGCCAGGAGCCCCTAGTAGCGTCCTTGCTCCTAGGTTCGCTGCCGGAGGTTGTTACAACTTTAAGTTGCTGCTGTACAGAGGCACAACCGGAAACTGTGCATTGGCAGTTCTAGCTCTAAGTGCTCACGCACGTGGAAGAGATGATGCCAACTTTGAAGGACATCGTTCCGATGTCGACTTTACAAAAGCAATCGATCAAAGCTGTTGGCCATCACAGACGAGCAGCCCGGTCTTTTATGATCTTTCATGGCAAGAAAGGCATTGGGAAACCAGACATGGCGACAAGGTTCTGCGCCCTCTCACGAGCAGTCATTTCCTAGGCCCCAAGACCACTAGCTTGAGGGAACCACGAAGCTGCACATGAACAAGCGTGCAAAAAAGGCCCGGGCTTGATGAAATCGCTCAGCTGCGCCTACACAAAATCCACAGACACCAAATGCGCCAATAATATCCAAAAATACAAGATTCGCACTACTCCATACTTTCTGCCCCTATCCTGATTGTGACGGTGGCTTTTCTTCACTTCCTTCAGACTTTTCCTTCTTGGTGGTCTTGTCTTTTTTGTGCCTGGACATTGCAGCGCATCGATGCTCCGTCCATCTGTCTGCCTGGCTAACTGCCTGCCTGCCTAACTGCCTGCCTGCCTGCCTCTGTCTCTGTCTCTGTCTCCGCCTCTGCCTCTGCCTCTGCCTAGCCTCTTCCCCCCTGCGATCAGGTGTATACTCCCGTCGATTGAACTGTTGAACGGACATCTATCCAAACAAGTTAAGGCCAAAGTAAAGGATGCTATCAACGGTTGATTGTTTTGTGGGATGTTGATGGCGGACTCCCTGAGTGCCACCATGACCACTGTGCCGCCATCCGCAGTGCTCTGTTCCAAACAAAGCCCAGCTCCAGAGCAAAAGCAAGTGGACTCTTGCCTTACGGAACGGGCAGCTGGGAGCGCTCCGATTCCATAGATATCCATAGAGAGCAACAAGCATGTTTGATTTCACCAGCCGATCGGCAAAGGCACCATACGGCCAGATGGCCCTTTATACTACATATAGGAAACAGCAGATCTTCTCGATTCTGCTGTACTCTAATGTCAATCATAGTCTTATCCAAGCGTAGCCTTATCGCCTTATCTTACATATGATGCAATCTTATCTTATCTCATCTCATCGCATCTTATCTCTCTCTCTCTCTCTCTCCCTCTCCCCCTCTCCCTCTCCCTCTCCCTGTCTCTCTCTCTCTCTCTCTCTCCCTACTGTATCTCTCTCCTATTTCTCTCCTGCGGCCATCTTGTTCTCTCTTTCCTCCTTCATTGACACTGAAGAATCCAACAACCGAGCTGTCAGTCCGAACATCGATTGCCGCAAGAAAATCCGATTCGAACGAAACCAGCCTCCGATGTTTTTCGCGCAGCATCTTTTGAACTTTACTCTTCAGCTGGTCCTTTGAAAGGCATAGCCATACCGGCCATACCCTATAATCCATTAATGAAGAATGGTTTGGCCTTACAAAATTGGCCCGAATCATGCACCAGCGCCTCTTGCCGGGCACTCTTGTCCCCTTCTGGCTCGCAGCCATCATGTGGGCTTGAACCTGAGTCTCAACTTCATGGTGACTCCAGTCGCCTTATCCGCGGCATATGCTGCACTTGGGCTAGCACAAAGCCAAGCAAACTGCACGAGCATTCCTTTTTGCGAGTTTTTCGCTTCAGCCAAAACGACCTGCGATTTATGTAGTAAATGTTCTCCCTAAGGTTGGGTCTATGAATTCATCTGCGGACTGCAGGGCTCAACAAACCTTGACTGCAGCTGTGATCCGTGGTTCTCGAAAAGGCCCGAGGCGGCCTTGCAATACCAGGAGTGGCGAGAAATGCAAAAAACCAAGGCCCGCAAGCCCACGAAGCCTAGAGTTCAGACATTGCAATTGTTGCCGGAAACAAAAACTCTGGCAAACAGGCTGTTTGGTCGTTCGTTATTTGGCAAACGTCCTGCTGCTTGCCATTTCAGCACTCTGGCGGTCATATACGCACACTGGCACTCACGTACTCACCCAACACCAATGCCAGTCCAATTGAGGAACAAATCACACACGGGCAACCAGCCCGATGCCGGAGGTATATGGAATAAACCCGCAGGTCCAACTACCTACTGCACCTACCAAAACGCTGTGAACCTGGCACATTGCCAACTCTGAGAGCTGCTCAACAAATAGCACGAGGTGCATTCACTGTTACATTCGCAGCAACTTACAAAATCGGCGGGTCAATATGCTGGCGCAGAAAACATCCCCACCTATGACCACCAAAGTCCACCCGTCCGCAATTGTTCTTGCACTGGAGCATCCGGACACTCCAAGTAGAAGGTGCGAACACAACATGTTCAACACAAAAACCAGGTGAGCTATGATGGGGTTGCCCACTGGCTGCGAGGACTTTAGCCTGTGGGCCATGAGTCTCGCACGGTTTTTGTGCGCGCGTGTTCCTGAACGAGCTTCACGGTTCATTGTTTCTGGTGGAAGTCGTCACCGCGTTTTCAAGTTTCAAGATGTTGAAGCAGTTTCACACATGCTGCCAGAGGGAAGGTTTGCAGCAGTTATGTTTGGCCTTTCTGGGTGGCTGCCGCGGCGGGACTGTCTGAAGGATAAATAATATGCAGTGGACCCAGAATTGATCAAAAAGGAAAAACCCTGTCATGACAAGGAAAACAAGGCAGGTTCCATCATGGTTTCGTTTTGACTTCACGGCACTCAGTCCCCTAAAGCGTCAGATGCAAGATTGAATTCAACATGGGGTGCCTTATTCCACTGGCACACAGGCATGGAATCCCGTCCGTGCTTAAGAGGCGTACAGCATACGTTGCTAGGCCACCAATGGTCTGGAATTTAACCTGGTTGGTCCATCCACATCTGCACGGGCCAAGAAACATGTTCTTGGCTCACCTGCACGAACACATTTCGTCGCCAGAACCATTTTTTAAAATTTGACACACAAATGACGCGTGTCCAACCGAATGAGTGTCAGTGTTGGTATACCACAAAAATCCCCGTCTGGTTTGGAGGTCAGGCAGGAACAGTGAAGAAAACATTTACAAAAATCAGGAAGACACCGATCTCAGTTTTGTAAAATCCTATACAACAAGTCGCGTCTTTAAGGTGCAAAAAAACTATTGAATCCTGTGCTGAAGATTAATTATTTTTAGTTAAAAAAGGCACAACCAGCTCATTTCCCGGGAAATTTCCCTACCAGATATTCTAATTGTCTGTGCTCACTCACGGGCTAAATCGCTGAAAAAATGCTAAGGATTTTATAAACATAGTGACATAGTGTGGACACTTCTTTCTGCAGTGGGCTGAGCAGGAGATAGATGCGCCATCCCCGGCGAGTGCTGAGTGCATTTACGATGCTGCCGCGGAGGAACGCATCAAAAACTGCGTGAACATGCTTTGCATCGGGTCGCGGAGAATGCGTGCGGTGGTTTTCAGAATAGAAAAATACAAACAATACAATAAATTTGTGCCCACGGCCGCATCTGTGGCTCAGAGCGGCGCTGAAGTTCATGCCCGTCGACGACGACAAAACGTTGAAAGAGAACGAGAAGGAGATCGACGTCGCACAAGATTGGATGTCGTCCAACAGGCAGGGCAATATAGTTCGTACTTCCCACTGGTTTTCGCATCCGCCTTCTGCCCATCCATCAAGCTGCCGGAGGGAGCGCCCAAAACGATAGAATCGTACAAGTGCCGATGGCTGCAGGTTGAGGCGCCGGAAGAGCAGCGCAAACGGGCAAGAGCGTTGACCGTCTCCTGAGCCCATCGGGTCGAACCGTGGCCGCGACGGCGCCTTCCGCAGATGCGGGCCGCCGACGCTTCCGACTCGCATTGGTGGTCTGAGGAGCGCGCGGGGGGGGGCCACTCAAGGACGATCTTCCTGAGATCTCTCATGCATCACTGGGCAGTGTCACTGAAACAGATTTAAGCCTTTTCCTACATGTCCTTTCAAAAACTTGATTTTGCCAAATATCAAAGGACGGAACAGACATGCTTGGGGACATGAGGGGGGTAGGGATCAGACAGAGAAGAGCGTGTTTATTTTCGTTTTGGAATGGTTTTTTGGAGCCCCCCAAGAACTTATAAACAAATGGTGTTTGAACCTCGGGGGTGACGTTGGGGAGGGGCTCACCAAGATCTAAGCCTGATTCTTCGGGGGTAGATTGCTTTGCTAACAGGAGTTTGAGATTAATTTTTGGCAGCGCTGAATGGTGAGGATAGGATTTATGAGCAAGGACCTCTCCCAGGAGTATGATCTCAAATCCATGCTGCGGCGGCACGTGCGTGTGCCTTTCGTGAATCTGCCGTTCCATGGTTTTCTAAGACAGCGCCGTGGGCGGGGCCGTGAAAGTCAATAGAGTCATGTATCCGTGGTCACGCCCCGCGTTCGGTAGTCTACGCAGACTCGAGTTCTTCCGACTGGAACTTCCGACTCGTTGACAAGGCGAACGCTACAGATTTTCGTTCGCTCTTGCTTGTCTTCTCACACTCGTCTAGCGGGCGGCGCATGACCGCTCGCAGCCAGTCCTGCAGCGTTGGCGGCTAGGTTCGGCGCACGCAGGGCGGCTTGTAGAGCAGTATGATAATATGTTTGGCCCATGGCGAAGCGTGCATACTTTTCGAAGAGCGGATCGTTGCGCTCCGGGTGTTTCTGCGTCCATGCTTTGGGTTCCTTTTTCGGCGTGCAATCACGAGCGTAATGTTCCTGGAGGTTGCGGAGGCGGCACACGGTGTGCCACAGATGATTGCGCTGCTCGCCAACGTGTTGCGCGCCGAACACGAGGTCGCAACTCATCATTGCCGCCAGTTCTTGAACGATGCGCAACCCGTGATACCGCACTCTCGACTCCGTCAACGGGAATGTGTGGTGCAACATCTTCCACTCACCACGCGGGCACTGGCACGCGAGATTTGTCGGTAGCAAGGAGGCCAGCCCGATGCTATCTCGGCTGCTCTTGCCCACGTAGTTGGTAGTATGGTATATAAAATGCCCCTGCTGGGTGCCTCCTGGCAGAGCCCCACTCCAGCCAAAACCTTCCTTCAAGCGCCGCTGCCTGCTTCCCCCAGGTAGTTGTAGGTGGTTCGAAATCCCGCGGCACGAAACACGGACACAAACAGCTGACACTTCTCGATGCTGAAAGGCAGAGGCGCTAAATCATGGGTGGCCATGACCTCACACCATGCTTTGAACATGGAGGTCTTCGTGTCCATCGTATACCCGCCGCATAGGCCAACTGTTGGTAGCCCATGCGTGCACGATGCACCAGGGCCCTCTTGAGTGTAGGCTTGGCGCGTCCTTCCACGCGTGTTGAATTTAATGTCAGAGGTGCACCTGGACGGCGTCTGACCAGTGTCTCGGGGTCCAAGACAATGACACTTGGTTCCTCCGCCGATGTGCCTGCAACTCCACTGCCGGAGCTTTCCCCTCCATTTTGGGAGGCCAACACCGCCACACCTGCAGCCTGTGCTTCCAATCTTGCTCTGAGGACTAATGGCGGTAGGTCATTCTCATTCTCAACCGACCCATCACCGACTGTCCACGCTGACTGGCTTCTCTGGTGCACTCTAGCGTTCCTACTCATGGTGCGCCCTCCTGGGACCCATCCTGAGCGGGAGCTCGCGCACCAGTTCCAGACGTGGGACAACACCATGTTGTGAAAAGGACAAGACTCGGGCAGAGGGTAGGCTGCGAACGACCGATCACGAAAAGCGAAAACACACATCTTTTCCTCCCAATCCTCGTCCGTTTCCTAGAGCGAACATCTTCGAATGAGCCTCGCTTCATCAGTCAAAGTGAGCTGCCGAACACCTTGCAAAATCACTCGGGATTTCGCCTCGCGAGAGAGAATCCGCGATGGTGTTGAGCAACCCACGGACATGACGTCCTTCAAGCGGTGGCAATTCGAGAAACTCGAGCTCCAGGATCAGTTCTCCGGCTAATCTGGTTAAATATGGGCTCTTGGAGGTGAAAGACAAAGCTGCAAGCAAGGTGGCCGCGTTATCACTACGGAGAAACACCCTATACATGCCACCTAGAAGAAAACAAGCAAAGAATCTGAGCGCACTCAAAACAGCAAACATTTCAAACTCTGTCTGCCATGCCGGATCCCCGATCTGACAGTTCGAGCCGATCCATTGGGCATCCTTAGGTGTCAAAGCGTGCATGAAGAAACCTGCCGGGTGAGTTCCAAAGGCGAGATACCCTCCAATACCAGTCGGGCAAGCGTCCGTCCACAACTCACACATCGGCAAGGACTCCTCGAACTTAAACACTTTAGAAAGGGACGGCATACGAACCTCTTGGGGGCACTGATGGGGATCGACCTGCACCGGCATACCATCAACACTCTTCCGCGTTGACGTGCCCGCCTGCAGCATGGCGAACAAGCCATGAACCGCCCACGCGACTTGCTTCCAAAAGCAAAGTCCCTTCCGACTCCGCGTTTGTGGCTTCGACCGCTCGCGCCCACGCTGGGGGTCAGTCAGGGCCCCCCACAGCGCCGAGGTCCAGGGACGCGAGGCTGGGATCAGATTGCTGACCCACCCCATCACGCCCGCCGCCTGGGCCAGCGTGCGGATGGTATCATGCCTTTTCGTCCCTCCTCGATAATGGCTTCAAACAATTCGAACAGCTTGGAGGTCTTGTCGGGAGTGAGGGAAACCCGGAGGGTGCAACTTGGGGACCATTCGATGGCGAGTGCGACACCGATCCATTCGACGTCACAACCTCTACTCACTTTCTTCCAAGCGAGTCGAGCTCCCAAGGCACACCAGAGAAGGGTGACCCGAGCAAACACACGAGAACGATTGTGGGAGTTCCTACCAAGTGCAATGAGGATGGGGTCATCAACATAACATTGCGAACGACCTTCACCCGTCCGCATGGTTGCCTGGCC